TCTGGAATTTGCTATGTTTATCAACAGTGGCCTTACAACTGCTGGATGCTTCTTCCTCCTTCTCATTTCCTATGGGGCACTGCTGATCAAAGTGAGGACAGGTGCCAGCCAAGAGAAGACCAAAGCATCTTCTACTTGCATCACTCAACATCATCATCGTTTTCATCATGTTTGGTCCAGCCATTTACCTCTACTGTCATCCGTTCCGTGATTTTCCCTTTGACAAAATGGTTGGTTTTCTCCACATTGTGGTTTTCCCTTTGATGAACCCTATGATTTACACCCTGAGGAATAAGGAAATCAAAGTTGCCATGTGGAGACTGTTGAAGATCCACAATATTTAGTAGGAGAAGTCAAAGAAGTTTGTATTTATTGGGATATAAGTCCAATATAAAGATTAATTTCTTTATATTGGACCCCATAGTCATATTGGCATCTCTATAGAGTGACTGTCAATATCTTGGATTATGTATATCATTGACATATATTTCTATTTTTAATAAATGAAAGTCAAATTCTTCTTTATCTAGTATTGAAATTTGCTAATATGAACATTCATTCATTTTTTAGATATTCTTGGTTGCTCGTACCAGACTATTTTAATCATGAACATAACATCAACATCATATGTGAACCCAATTTTCAGGGTCATCAACAAAAGAGAAAATTTTACATGGGGAGTTGCCTAGACCAAAAACCACTGCAAAAAAACCCTCTGTAAACCAAGTCTAATATAATACAGTACAAATGGAATAATTTTCCAATATTCAAGGTATACATTTTTGTAATTTTAAACTGTACCAATTTCTACAGAGCATCCTTCTAGGTTAGATATGTGAAATACATACATTGTTTGCAGAAAGTGGATTTGTTTAGACATATTATTTTGTTACACAATGACAGTTAATGATCATTGCCAACATTGATATGGAATTATTCTTCAGTAAATTAAATCTGTACCCAGATTTGCAGATGTGTTGAACCACAGATATGATGAAATATGTTTTAGATCACCAATCCTTAGTTCATATTCCCATTATATTTCTCACTTTAGCCTGTGCCAATGAATATTAGTGATACTTTTTGTGTGTTTTTTCTGATAAAGTCAGCATTTCAGTGTGTGTAATGATGTATGCCAACCAGCATCACTTACTGAGATAGGCAAATAAATAACAAGAAATTCCAAGAATTGGGAAATCATGTTGGAATTATATTTTGATACCTTAGATCCATGATGGCGAACCTATGGCACACGTGCCACAGGTGGCACACGGAGCCATATCTGTGGGCACGCGAGAGTTACCCTAGCTCAGCGCCAACTGATTTTCAGTCCTTCTGGGCCCACTGGAAGTTGGGAAATGGGCCATTTCCAGAGAGCCTCCGGGGGGCCTCCGGGGGGATGGGGAAAGCCATTTTTGCCCTGCCCAGAGTCCAAGAAAGCCTCTGAAGCCTGGGGAGGGCGAAGAACGGACCTCCTGGACCCACCGGTAACCTTTTTGCCATCACATGCCAAAAGCGGGGGGGGAGCGCACGGGGATTGTGCGTGCATGCACGGGGCATGGGGGGACATTGAATTATTTATTTATTTATTTATTTATTTATTTATTTATTTATTACATGTATTTATATGCCGCCATTCTCCCGAAGGACTCAGGGCGGCGAATACAAGTTAAGAAACAAGTACAATAAAATCATAATTTAATCCAAAGAATTATGGGTGTGAGCGCATGTGAACGCGACCCCCCTGCGCTCCCTCCACTTTTGGCACTCAACGGTAAAAAGGTTAGCCATCACTGCCTTAGATGGTTGGAGGCTAAGATATATGAAGAATGGTAGGAGGAAGTGGTTATGGCTAGTCTGGTGAAAAGAAGGATCAGGGGTGACATGATAGCAGTGTTATTTGAGGGGTGCAACAAAGAAGAGAGGGTCAACCTACTTCCAAAATACCTGAAGGCAGGACAAGAAGCAATGGATGGAAACTAATCAAGGAGAGAAGCACCCTAGAACTAAGGAGAAATTTCCTAACAGGGAGAACAATCAACCAATGGAACAGCTTGCCTTCATAATTTGTGGGTGCTCCATCACTGGAAGCCTTTAAGAAGAGATTGGACAGTCATTTATCTGAAATGGCATAAGGTTTTCTGCTCGAGTAGGGGGTTGGTCCAACTCTGTTATTCTTTATCCATCCAACTATTCATTTCAGAACTGAAGCATAATTTGGGCGTTCTACTGATGGATGGGGCTTGTGGTATTTGCCCCCATTGTTTCTACAAAAAATCCTTGATCCTTCTGGATCAGTTTCTAAAGTTTTGAACTTTTTTGTATTTTAAAAAAAAACAGTCCACTTCATTTGCCTGGGTTATTACTCTTGCGGTCTTTGGCTGAAACCAAATATGTCATACGCTTCATCAAGAAAAAAAAAAAGCTGGATTTCCATTAAGTAAAATTAGAATAATTAGCCAATATACTGCAATTTTGGAATTCATGGGTTAGAGTTCACTTTCACCCTCAATTATATGATTGGCTTAATATCCATGGCAGAAGTGGTCATGAAGTCAGGCACAGCTCACTTAATGGAGTCCAGTCCCAATTGTGATTGTAAGTGGAGAACTATCTTTATCCACAAAAGATGGAATCGAACAGGAAGAAAATGTTAAGAGTGCCAAATATGCAATTCAACATGAGAACTTTGAGCAGACTATTTGGGGCCGCAAATTTGTGTGGGGTGGGGGAGTAATGAGATGATAAATACAAAGCAAATTGCCTATCATACACTTTTGATTAATGCCTCTGAAGGAGCAATATACTGGGGGGGAAAAAACTGTGGGCTAACTTTTTAATTCAGCCCCCAGGGGTAAGAAATGGAAGGTGTTGTGTCTCTTTTAATAAACACATCTTCAACTCTCAATGTATTAAGACCACAGGCAATTTAAGGATGGGGTATAAAAAGCCTTGGCTGCCCCAAGAGCTTCCAAACATTTGAAGGAATGAAAGGGTAAATAGCAACTCCACTTCAGACTTTCAGCTAAACACACACACACCTTCTTTTTCACACTTATCATTTTCCTCCTGGCTTACTTGAACAAAAGTAGGTTCCACAAGTAGACTGGAGTAAGGATGGAACACAATTCATGCCAGTTCAATCCACATTCCTAAAATTAAGTCCTTTGATAGATGATTCAATCTTCTCCAGGCAAGACTTCCTTTCCTTTCCCTTTCCTTTTTTCCATCTTTTCTTTCCCAGTACATTACATTTTATTTGAATTATTGTGTATTCATTACTTTTAAGTAACCAAAAACTAAACTAACATTTTTTAATACATATTGGTGGGAGGGTTTCTGCATTTTGCCTGACGCTGCTTAATTGAAAAACAAAACAAACAATAGCTAACCATGGTTATGTCTGTAAGCATTGCAGAATTCTGACTTTTGTTTTCTGAGAAAGCTCTAGTTTTGCAATTTGCTAATTCTATGCTTACGTGTATTTGGGTTTGTATACTAAAATATTTTATTCAACTAATCCTGTAATCACTTTCTGCACCCATGGACACAATTAAACAAGTAGGGATACAAAACAATTAAGAAAGCATTTGTCATCTCACTATTATTATTATTATTATTATTATTATTATTATTATTATTATTATTATTATTATTATCTTTATTCATTAAATATGAAACTCAGTCAACTGGACATTCAAAAATGCATCACAAATACCATTGACTGGTGCTAATGGTTGATATGGGTTGCTGCCAGCATCCTAGGTATCAACCAAGTACCTTCTTAAGATGTACGAAGTTCCAAGTAGTACAGTTTTTTGCAGTTCTGCTGGTGTTATTGCAGGAAGCTGCAATTTGCTGATGTATGTTATAAAATTCTTGGACATGTACCAAGTGCCCCGATGACAATGGGTTTCAATCTTACATGTTTCATCCTTAGCCGTGTAGTTTCGATGGCCAGGTCGCAATATTTCAGGATTTTTCCAGTTCTTTTTCGATTCTGGTACCGCGATGTCAATAAATTGCACGTTTCGGTTTTCAACAACTGTGATATATGGCGTGTTGGGTTCCAAGTGACAATCTGTCTGTATTGAAAGTCCCACAAGATTTTCACCTTCTCATTTTGTATAACTTTTTCCAGTTTTGTTCCCATGACTTTTTGATACAGGTAAGTCGTATTTTTTACATAATGACCAATGGACTAATTTAGCAAATCGGTTGTGTCTAGCTTTGTAATCAGTTTGTGCGATTTTGCTGCATTCACATATTAAATGTTGTTGTTGTTGTTATTGTTATTAAATCACATGAAGGCTTTAGCTGAAAAAATGTGTAGAAATTCACATTCTATATCTCAAAATGTCACTGCTTAGAAACCCATATTTTTCTGAATGATTTTGGTAGATGAAACAAGTTGTTATTGTAATAAAAAAAATGATTAGTTAGTCATTCTAAGTAACTGGGATGTCTTCCCCTTAGTTAAATAGTTTTGAAACACAAGTTTGCAACTGAATTTTATCCATGAGAGAGTGTAATCTGTCTTCTTATTCTGACAAAGGTATGTGCCTATTACACTTTTTTTCAAACATAAGCTGGGTTCCTGATTCCTTCCAAAATAATAGCAATTAGTCTTGATACCCTTAAATTCTGCACCATAATGGGAAATTTTACTTATTTAATATTCCGCCTTCATTATTTTTATAAATAACTCAAGACGGCGAACCTTCCCTCTTCCTATTTTCCCCACAACAACAAAACCTTGTGAGGTGAGTTGGGCTGAGGGAAAGTGACTGGCATGAAGTCACCAGCCGACTTTGGTGCCCTCTTGCCTCCTAGCCTGATACCTTAAACCACCAGAACAAACTGGCTGTAGGTTCAACCTACCTTCCTTGTAACAACTAGTTTAGTGAAAAAAGAAGCTATATAAAAAGTGATTTTTAGAAATGCACTATGTTGTTTCACATTCCTTAAATTATTCCACTTTAGGGGAAAGAATTGTAATAATGGAACTAAGCAACAATACTATAGTAACCGAATTTCTTCTTCAAGGATTATCAGAAATCTGGGGACTACAATTGCTCTTTTGTATCCTCCTTCTGCTCTTCTATCTTGTCATTCTACCTGGGAACATCCTCATCATTGTGGCCATTATCAGTGACTCCCATTTGGGATCCCCCATGTTCTTCTTCTTGGCCAATCTAGCTTCGATGGACATCTGCTACAGCTGCATCACGCCTCCAAAGATCGTAGTCAACTTCTTCTCCAGCAACAAAACCATTTCCTTTCAAGGTTGCATGGCTCAGATCTTTTTCATTCATCTTCTCGGGGCAGCTGAGATGATCCTTCTTATTGCCATGAGCTTTGATAGGTATGTAGCCATCTGCCAGCCTTTGCACTACCCCACTGTCATGACTAGGGAACTTTGCTGGGTCTTTGTGTTAGGTTCATGGGCAGGGGGTTTCATACACACAATGATCCAAGTCATGCTGATTAATCCATTGCCTTTCTGTGGTCCCAATGAACTGGACAATTTCTTCTGTGACATCACTCAGATCATTAAACTGGCTTGCACCAATACTGACACTTTAGAGTTCATCATGTTTGTCAACAGTGGTCTTTTAACTGCTGGATGCTTTCTCATCCTTCTCGTCTCTTACTGGGCACTACTGATCAAGGTGAGGATGGGCTCCAGCATAGGAAAGAGCAAGGCTGCCTCTACCTGCATCACACACATCATCATCATTTTCATCATGTTCGGTCCAGCCATCTACATCTACTGCCGTCCCTTACAGAATGGTCTCTTCGACAAGATGGTGGCCTTTTATCATACGGTGGTTTTTCCTTTGATGAATCCCATTATCTACACACTGAGGAACAAAGAGATTAAAGCTGCCATGAAGAGACTGCTTGCAAAATATAACATTTGTTGAAGAAAGGGAAGGAAATCAGACATTTTGTTACTTAAATAGAGAAATGGAATGGCCATGGGTAGGCATAAAAAGCAGTGGGGACTGGAGTAACTTTGGACTTTCTAGCTACTATTGGGTGGGGGGGAGGAAGCAAGGTTTCTAGAAATGTTGTTTTTCCATCGTGAAACTAGGTCAGTAGAATGGCCTCCAGCTGGAGGTTTATTTGCCTCCAACCTTATTTACCTTTCAGAACTCTTTGGAAAAGCTCTGCTTTCAACTTTTTCTCAAAGGTAAATAATCTAGTTTCATGATGGAAAAACAACATTTCTGGGTTTTGCATCTGTTGGAAGAAATGTCCATCTGGGTTCAGTTCCAAGTGGGGAAAAAGACACTGGAAACATGGAGGCTGCTTGGAAAGAGGATTTTTTTTTTAATGGTGGACAGGATCACATGCCTTGATGATGTTGGTTGAAGAAAAAGAACGAAAGTGATGCTGAGAGTGCCTGAGGTTAATACCCAGTGGTGAAATCCAATTTTTTTTACTACCGGTTCTGTGGGCGTGGCTTGGTGGGCGTGGCAGGAAAATACTGCAAAATTCCCATTTCCCCCCCCAACTCCTGGTGGAAGGATATTGCAAAATCTCCATTCCCACTCCATTCTGGAGCCAGCCAGAGGTGGCATTTGCCGGTTCTCCGAACTATTCAAAATTTCCGCTACCGGTTCTCCAGAATGTGTCAGAACCTGCTGGATTTCACCCCTGTTAATACCCTCTCTGGGCTTTTGAATTTGAACTTATATTCTGATTGGTTGTCAGATTCCCATGGGGCTATGCAGGGGCAACTCTGTAGGCTGTCCTGAGTCCCAAGCTTGGTTGAGCCTTGCTGGGCGATGTAATCTTCCCCAGTGCCATGTGGTGAGTTCTGTTGCTAGATGGGTAAAGGGCTAATCCTACCTTTCTTGGATCTTGGGTGAGGGTATTTGCTTATGAATAGACCTAGCTATCTCTTTATCTCTTAAGTGCTGACATGTGCTGTGGGCTATTGAGGAGGTTGGGGGCTATTAAGAGTGAGTCTGCTTCCTGCCTAAAAAAACATGTTTCTCCATTTCTCATCCAGGGAAATATAATATTCTGCTTTTTAAATATTGCCTAGAATATTTCATTTTTCTGGGAGAGGGGCGGGTGCTAACTTCCTACACATCTTTACACAGGGGAGAGATTTTCCTGGCCTTCAAGAAGGCAGGAGTCCACTCATTCTTGAAAAACCTTCCCTGACTCCAGAGGATTTTGGTGCCTATTTGTCCATCACACAGGTCCACTAGAAACCCACGTTATCCCCAATGCTAGAAGTGTTTATTTGTCTATTTGTTTATCTATTAAATTTATATCCTGCTGCAACCAAAACAGACTTTCTGCTACTCATAATAACAAGCAAAATATAATAATACAAAATAAACCCCTTATAAATATATTACAAAATCAAATCATTCCTGGCAATTGTGTAAAGATGTGTCCACCTTCCTCTGGATCTATCCAGTCAATTTTTTCCCCCATTTTCATTATAAGGGATAAACCACATATAAAGGTAAAGGTTCCCCTCGCACATATGTGCTAGTCGTTCCCGACTCTAGAGTGCGGTGCTCATCTCCATTTCAAAGCCGAAGAGCCAGCGCTGTACAAAGACGTCTCTGTGGTCAAGTGGCCGGCATGACTCAACGCCAAAGGCACACGGAACGCTGTTACCTTCCCACCAAAGGTGGTCCCTATTTTTCTACTTGCATTTTTTATGTGCTTTCGAACTGCTAGGTTGGCAAAACTGAGACAAGTAACGGGAGCTCACCCCATTACGCGGCACTAGGGATTCAAACCACTGAACTGCCAATCTTTCGATCAACAACCTAAGCGTCTTAGCCACTGAGACACCATGTCCCCAAACCACATATAAATCACCCCATACATTGATTTTTTTTTTTACGGGAACATATGGCTGCGTGGGGCCACATATAATCTAAGTACCCCTGTCCTGCACACCCAGAAATGTATGTAGCAAGTCAAGTACATTCACCAAGAAAAAAGAGAGATTCTACTGATCTGTCTAAGTAATCACTAAGAATCAACAACAAGTTAATATCACACAAATCAGTCACTCAATCCGTTGATTCTGGATTAGTTCTGACATATTGCCTTATTTAAACACATTGCCATATTTAACACAGATAAATTTGCATCCCTCTGCCTGGGTGGATAAATATTAGCAGCACATTCAAGCAAAATGTTCTGGAGCATCTTTAAATGAGTTGAGGTGGTGCAGTGGTTAGATTGCAGTACTGCAGGCTACTTCTGGTGATTGCCGGCTGCCTGCAATTTGGCAGATCGAATCTCACCATGCTCAAGGTTGACTCAAATCTCCATCCTTCCGAGGTCGGTAAAATGAGGAGCCCAATTGTTGAGAGCAATAGGCTGACTCTGTAAGCCGCTTAGAGAGGACTGGAAAGCACTGTGAAGTAGTATATTAGTCTAGGTGCTATTGCTATTGTTACATAATACCAAACATCAGTCCAGGCCCTTGATGCTAGATGGGTCTTCCACCAGCAAAATGGGAGACCCACTAGGAATGCTATACAGGTGATGAACAATGCCTAGCCATGAATAAAAAGTGCACAAACATTCTATTTCTTGCTTCTTCATGTGTATAAATTGTGAGCAGTCTCTAAGCTGAAACAAAGTTTGCTGTTTTCAAAAAGAGACTAACTCCTCTGACCCCTGTGCATCATCTTTGGTATTCAGTACTAATGTTTTAATAATATTACTTGAGAAGAATAGAAGTCTGGTGTCCCCATATTGGTTCATTGGAGTTGCTACCAAGGATATGTTCTCTGGAGCTGCAATAAAGAAAACTAAGTATAATGAGATTCAGCTCTTTTCTCTGGTCCTTTCTCTCTCCAAAAAGAGAATGAGATGTGGTTAGATTCTTTCTTTCTTTCTTTCTTTCTTTCTTTCTTTCTTTCTTTCTTTCCTTCCTTCCTTCCTTCCTTCCTTCTTTCTTTCTTTTTTCCTTCCTTCCTTTCCTTCCTTTCTTCCTTCTTTTTCTTTCCTTCTTTTCTTTCCTTCCTTCATTCCTTTCTCTTTCTTTCTTTCTTTCCTTTCCTTCCTTCCTTTCTCCTTTTTTTCCTTCCTTTCTCTTTCCTTCCTTCCTTCCTTCCTTTGCTTCCTTCCTTTTTTTCTCTTTCTTTCTTTCTTTTGTTCATTCTTTTCTTCCTTCCTCCCTTCTTTCTCTTCCTTCCTTCTTTCTTTCTTTCTTTTTTCTTTCTTTCTTTCTGTCTGTCTTTCTTTCTCATGCTCAAAGATTATGAATTCCAAAGCTGTGATATTCAAACCATATCAGGGGCTGAATCCTAACAACCTTGTTCAATGCAGGGTCCTCTCTACTATTTTTTACACCTTTCTATCCATTTAGCCATTCCCCTGGTCTCTACTGTCTTTGCATCTCCTGCTGCCTGCTCCCAGATCCTTTTTTTAAAATGCATCATCCATTTAGTTTCCAATGCAAGCCTTCTCCAACCTGGTGACCTCTACATTCATTGCACTTGAATTTCCTAAGTTTAACTTTTGTGGGTGCTTTCAAGTCAGATTTTGACTCCTGTTGACTGCCTGAACAAGTCCCTATAAGAAGAGACTGGACTGCCATCTATCAGAAATGGTGTAGGGTCTCCTGCTTGGGCAGGGGGTTGGACTAGATGACCTACAAGGTCCCTTCCAACTCTGTTAATCTGTTAACTGTTAAAGTTGGCTTGGAAAGATTGTTTTGGATGTGGTTTGTCACTACCTGCTCACCTAGGGCTGAGAGAGTGTGACTGGCCCACTGTCATCAAGATGGCTTTTTTTTTTTTGGAATTTTTTTTTATTTTTAAACAAAACTTAAAACATAAAACAATTATCATCCATTACAATTACAGAAAGTGTATTGATTGGTTACAAATCTTTTGTGCTTAATCCTCTATCCAACATTTTCTTATTTAACAGTTTATTACATTATTATTCTCATTTACCAATTATTTAACAGTAAATTGTCCTCTACAAGGGGGGGGGAAAAACCCCTTTATATGTTTTATTATCTTATCCATTTCATATTTCATATTTCATTTCCATTCTTTCTTGTCTAACCATTGATAAAATAAATCCCATATCAAATAATATTGTTTATCTTCTTGTTCCCTAATTTCAAATGTCAATTTATTCATTTCAGCACACTCCAAAATTTTCTTGATAACGTCATCATCCGTGGGTATCTTCTCACCTTTCCACTTTCTAGCAAATACAATTCTAGCCACCGTTAAAACATTCACAATTAAATATCTCATTTCTCTATTGTATATTTCTGGTAAAATCCCCAATAAAAATATCTCTGGTTTAAAGTCAATATGTTTCTTTGTCATTTTTTCCAACCTAAAATCCAATTTGTGGATTTTAGTCCAATATCTTTTAGCTTCTGTACATGTTCACCACATATGGTAATATGAGCCCGGAGTCTGATGACACTTCCAACATTTCTCCGATTTATTCTTGTACATTCTGGCTATTCTCGCCGGGGGTAAATGCCACCTGTAAAACATTTCATCAAGATGGTTTTATGCCTAAGTGGGACTAGAATCCACAGTCTACTTGATGATGCAACCACTACACCAAACTGGTTTCCCTCTACAATAAAAGACAAGTTGCACACAGACTTATCACTTACCAAACTGGGAAAGGCTATCTTGACTAAATTTTTCCTTCCCTTCTCCCTCTTTCCTTGCTATAACTCACGAATCACTCATTTTTATTTACTTCTTTGGTTTCTATCATTTCATTGAGGAGCTCATTTGTGTATCCCACCTCCTTTTCTCCACAAAGTTCTGTAAACTAGGTTGGATTGAGAGCATAACTGGCCCAAGGTCACTTAATTTACTTAGGCAGGCATTGGGTACATCTAGTCTAATGAAAAGAAGAAGTCAAGATGACATGATAGCAGTATTCCAATATT